CCCCCCCCCCCACAGATGACCTCTCTGACAGAGGTTTGCCTGGGCTCCTGGCCCCTTTGTTCCCACTGTCCGAGGGGTCCCTGCACTAAATCCCCCCACACATACTGCAGCCCTTCACCTAGGGATCCGGGTCCGAAGGTCTGAAGTCCCCACCTTGAAGCCACATGAAAGCACAAATGTCAACGGATAATCTTGGGTTTGCTCTGCCTCCACCCTCCCTTCCCCCCACTCCCCCCGCCCCAACATATTCAACCTTTCCGCCCCTTTCTTCTGTGAATTTCTGAATACCATTCTTCTTTTTAAAAATATGTTTTATTGATTTTTAGAGAGAGGGGAAGGGAGAGGGATGGAGAGATAGAAATGTCAATGAGAGAGGAACATCATTGATTGGTTGCCTCCTGCACAGCCCACAACCCAGCATGTGCCCTGACCAGGTATCTACGGCTTGGTTCCTGGGTCAAAGCCACCCCAGCAGGCCAAGCACCATCTGCACAGCTTTGGGGTTAGGGGGGGGGCCGTGGACAGGCTGCCAGCGCCCCCCTCAGCCAGAGGCAGGACTGTGTCCCAAGAAGGCCTGTCCTGGGGCTGCCCCTGGCACTAGCATGGGACCACCCTGAGCCCTAGCGGAGGGGTCACTCAATGTGAGTTTTCCAAGGAAAAAAGAAGAAAATCTGGTTAGAACACAAATCCTGGATTCCAGAGTCTGCACATGAGCTGGGGCCGCTTTCACTCTGGGCCCTTTATCTTTTATGCCCCTCACACTCCAGTGTAAATCTGTGCCGCTATTTCTTTCCGCTCCGGCCCCAAGGGAAGCTTATGCTCTCAGACCCCAGTGGGGGCGGGCGGGAGGGTCCACACATCCACCCACCCTGGGGTTGCACTGACATAAGAGGAGAACATGGGCAGTGGGGGGTCACCAGAGTCCCCCTCTGTGCATGGTAACCTGGTGTGTTCCTTCGGGGGCTTGTTCAACCTGCGAGGGCCCCAGAGCCCTGTCCCGGAGGCTCCTCAGAGCCCACTTCTGTGTGTGCAGGTGCTGTCAGTTTGGTTCTAAGTAGCTATGTCACTGTGTGTGTGTACGTGTGTGTGTGTGCGCGCGCGCGCGCGCGTGTGCACGTGTGCGCGCGCACTTTCAGGAATCCTTGTGCTAGAACAACAAGTGACAATGTCCCCACCAACAGGACACCTGAGGAAACAGTCTCTCACTCCCTGCAACCCCAAGGCCTCGCAGCAGCAGAGCAGCGTTGCTCTCAATAAAACACGGGTCTTGTCTATCATAAAGCTCTAAAGAAGGAGCTCCTTGCTTCTGCTGCTGAAAGTAAGTTCTCCCTACAGTCTGGCCTTCTCTTCCTTTCCGGGCAGAGTAAGGGGTGGCTGACGTCTTGGAAGGGGACTCCCCCTCCTCCAAGGGAACACATCTGACATAGGGGACCCCTCCACGCTGGGCTCATCCCCTCTGCTAAACACTGCCCCCCCTTCCTTCCTCCCCACCTTTCTGAGCCAGATTGATATTTGACAACAAGGGCAATGCCCAGGGATGAAGCAGGAGCAGAGAGGATCAAGATTCCAAAGCAGGCCAGCAGCTGGGCGGCAGGGAGATCAATAAGGGAGATAGATTGGAGACAGGTTTCTTGGACTTCTTTTTTCTGCTGGCTCAGCGCCCCCACCCCAGCTCCTAAAAGCAGGTGGGGGACAGAGCCCAGCCCTGGCCTCTCTGTGCCCTTCTAACTCAAACAGGTTCCTAATCCCTGGGTAGAGGGTAAACAGCCTCCAAGCACGGCAGGATCAACCGCAGAAACGCTGCTAATGCATCTCGGCCCTGTTCCCTGCCCCCACTCCCACGCCGCGTTACTAATTAGCCCGGCAGCCTGGGAGAAGCTGGGAGGGGAAGCTGAGAAAGCCTTTGTGCGGGCCCTGCAGGCCCAGGTCTGAGCTCTGGACAGTGTCTCTGGTGCTAGAGCAGCTGAGGGGGGCAGAGCGCTTCCCTTCCCGCTCCCCACTCCCTGCCGCCTAAACAGCTCAAAGGCAGACAGCATTGTTTCTCTCTGCACCTCCCTGGACCCCCCTGGCTCCCCTTGGCTGTTCACAGCTGGGGGGCAGGTGGGGACAAGAGGGAGAGTGAAATCGGCTCCAGAAATCAAACGACCCAATAAAAAATTAATTGTCTAATTAAAACCATGAGGAAGCCCCTTGCCAGAGTTTGGCTCAGAGTCGTCAGGGCTATAAAGGGTGGGAAAATGAGTCTCCGCTCCTAATAAATTCCTGATTTGCAGCTTGGTTATCAGTAGAGGAGCACTGAGCAGAGCGTTCTGCCTGACTAGGCCTCCTGGAGGTCATTCTGTCCCCCTCCCCCACAAGCCCAGGCGGTCACACCCACCTCCCCCACCCTCCACCTCACACACCCACCCCAAGCCCAGAGCCAGGAGTCTCCAAATGGACAGAGGCCACCGCTCCAGGCAGACTGACCCCCGTCTCCCTGACCTGGTGCTCCCTCCTGGTCTTCCCTAGGAAAGGAAACTTCCTAGAAACTTCCATGGAGAGTTCTTCATTTAGGTTAACTAATAATTATTACAAGCAGATTTGCTGTGTAGGTTCATTTTGACCTCAAACCCCCCCCCCCCCGCACCCACACACATTTTTCTGAAAAAATACATTTTAACACAATTCATGAACCAGCAGGTTCCTTCTCTCAGACCTTCATGATGATTTCTGCAGGTGAATGACGGGGCCAGGACAAGACAGGGCTCTCCCCCCGGAGAAAGGACCGCGCACACTGTCCCGCTGACCAGACGCAGAGCTGGTCCAGAGAGGAAGGCAGAGTTAGGCAACTCTTAAGTGTAGCTGGGGGTCCAAACCTTCACCCTGGATAATTGTACCCATTCTTCACTTGGGTCTGCCCTGTGCCTCTCCAGTCCCTCCCTCCCTTGGCCAAAGCAAGTGCATTATATATATCAGAGGCCTTAAAGTGGTTAGCATACAGCCTTCAACATCATAATGCCTCTATTATATCATTTTATTATATAGAACACAATATGGGATATATCTCTGTGATTAGCTTCTTAAACAGTCATGGGCGAACAAACCAGGGTTGTCCTTCAAAACCATATGTCACCTTAGGAGGACATACACTTACCCTCTGTGCACCTCTATTGATTAAAGCATTTCTGCAGTCCCCTTTAAAAATGGGCTTTCGAGTCATTTTACAAAACAGTCAAGATAACCATTGTTAACTATAGATTATTTTTTGACTGATTTCCAAAAAGCAAACAATGAAGATTTGTCACCAATAAGGGACATTCAAAACCGGAGTTGCACGCCCCGAAGACTGTTCCGGAAGAGGAGTTACGGAAACGTGTCGCTGCCGCCGTGCTGGGCAGCGGGTCCCCCCAAGGTGGCTGGAGGCAGCAGGGCTCGTCCGACGCAGAGCGCGGAAGCCACATCTGGAGAGTATTATTTATCATTCCTGATGATCCTTCTTTCCTTCATCTGGATGTTATTTTTCATCCTAGGCCGCGAACTAAGCTTTCCCTAAGAAGGAGAGAAAGGGAAGGAAACGAATTCCTGACCCCCATCTGGGTCAGGCTCCCATTTCAGATTTCAGCAAATTCCCATGCCTTTCCACCTCCAAGAACCCCAGATCTAGAGACTGGAATGTAGACACTGATTCTCATTCCTTCATATGAACTGCAAACCTACTAAGTGCCAGTCCCACTGGGTGCTTACTCATGGGTCATCCTTTTCCATCTGGGGATGTAAGGCAGTATTCCTTCCCTGATGGGTGGAATGTGTCCTTTCTTTTTCCTGCCTCCTAGTCTAAGACTGAATACTG